TATATATATATGTATATATACACATATATATAAAATATCCATCCAAGCACTAGTCTATACACCCCACTGTCTACATAACAGATTTTCTAAAATCAACAACGGTACAATTATAGAAGTCATGCGCCCCTTTGCAGACCCTTGGAAGAGGGAGAGTGAGAGTTGGGGGTGAGAGACACTTCGCGTTGAAAGTTGAAACCTATGTGGAAGAGTACAATTATAGATCCAATTTGTCTCTTCCTAATCTCAGTAGTTATCAACTTTAACGTTTGTTCTATAATGAGTCGGTAATTGGTAGTCCTAAGTCTTATTGGTAAAGTTGACCAATAGCCAACTTGTACGACTAAGGCTAATTGGCGAATTTCATTTCAATTGGCGATTAAGACTAATAGCTCTTCTACAATAAGCCACAAGTCAGAAGTTATAAGCAATCTTAAGTCATAATCAGTAAAGTTGACCAATAGTCAACTTGAATGACTTGGTTAAGGGTATGAGCACAAGGATTGCCGTAACGCTTTACGGCAGTCTTAAGTTGTAGACGTAAGTAACGCACAAGCATTGGCGTATGACTTTAACTTATACATTGCCATAGGCCGGTATTCATAGTCGGTTCTTATTTTAAAACCGTCTTAAGTAATATCTTAAGTCGCTAATGCGGCCCTCTGATTGGTTCATGACATTTTAAGACTGTACTTAAGACGGTCTTAAATACAAGATCTGACTATGAATACCGGCCATAGACAATTAGACAAAGTCATACGCCAATGCTTGTGCGTTACTTACGTCTACAACTTAAGACTGTCGTAAAGCGTTACGACAATCCTTGTGCTCATACCCTAACAGCCCTTCTACAATAAGCCGCAAGTCAGAAGTTCTAAGCTATTTTAAGTCATAATCGGTGAAGTTGACCAATAGCCAACTTGAACGATTTGGTTAAGACAGGTTCAGACTTCTGATGTTCTGACTTGCGACTTATTGTAGAAGGGCTGTTAGACTTCTGACGTTCTGACTCGTGGCTTATTGTAGAAGTCCCATAAGATTTCTGATTACTGACTCATTAAGCTTGTTCTTTTTGGCTGGACTTTTGCACCAGTTTATCTTTCTTCCTCTTCTTTTCTCCTGGAGAAAAAAGGAAGAAAGATGAACTGGTGCAAAAGTTCAGTAAAAAAGAACAGGCTTATTGTAGAATCAGCATAACGCTTAATATCTCGGCTCACAGGGCAGAGCAACGCTTTTTTTTTGCCAGATTCTTTTGTTTCATGCAAAAACGCATCGAATAAGCCTAATTTCATCAAAATCGGTGAGCAGGACACAATTCTTGAGTATTACCGAATATATTTCTAAAATTTAAATGTCTCATTGTTAGTTTATTATTATAATTTAGGTGAATGTTAAGAAAACCCTGGCTACTTCAAATTTTCAAAAAAAAATGCACTCTATGCATAAAAATAAATATTTGATAAGAAAAAAGCGTCGCTTTGCCATGAACTAAGATGTTAATCATTAAAATCGACGGCTATTCAGGTTAGGAAATTTGTCATAGCAGTGGTTCACTGCTTTAAAAATACAAATTCTCTGCGTTAAAAGTAAATTTTCTGCTAAAGCAATGAATTTGTGTTTTTAAAACAGTGAATTTATATATTTAAAACAATGAATTTGTGTTTTTAAAGCAGTACACCACTGCTGTGACATGATTTCCTAACTTGAATAGTCGTCGACTTTAATGATTAATATCTCAGTTCACGGAGCAGAACGACGTTTTTTTTCTTGTCAAATTTTTGTTTTTATATGAAAATGTATTAATTGAGTGCATTTTTATCAAAATTTGAGGTGGCCAAAGTCTTAATATTTATCAAAGTAATTTTACATTTTAGATTGAAAGGGTTTGTACTGGCTTTCAAAAATCCTAAATTGCTTAGCAATCTGGGAGAATTGTTTTATGATTCTCCCTTTATTCATGTCGACATTGAAGCAGATTTCTATCTGTTCCGTCCAAAGGCCGGATCTTTTCTAAAAGGTAAATTATTTTCGCTAATTGTTACATACTCGATCAACTGATTTCTTGAAGAAAATTAATTACATTAATTTGTGAAATCTAGCATAATGTCCACATTTTTAATTGGTTAAGTGCCAAATAAGTTTTATATGATAGGTATCCCATAGTATTTATTACAAATGAGATTTTTATGTATGTTTTTTAAATTACTAGTAGAAGGGGCAGAATGGACTAAACTGATAAGAAAAGTCCTCTACCATTTTGCAATTTTCGCAATAGTTAATAGGATATTATTTGCTAAAAATTATTAAAAATTGATCTTCAATAATTTTTTACTCAAATACTATCAACTTTACAGAAAAACTACAAGAGATAAAAATTGTTTATTCTTATAGAGCTCTAAGAATTTTTTTTTAGAATTTTTTCAGAATTTTTTAATACTATTTTCTCATGTTGATAAAAATGAGAAAATACAGTACTAAAAAGTTGATAAAAAATTCTAAAAAAATTCGTAGAGTTCTATGAGAAGAAAATAAATAATTTTCGTTTTTTGCAGTTTTTTTTATAAAGTCGTTAGTATTTGTGTAAAACATTATTGAAGACTAATTTTCAGCAATTATCTTGTCAACTATTGCGAAAATTGCAAAATGGTAGAGGACTTTTCTTCACAATTTAGTCCATTCTGCCTCCATGCGAAAGATTTATCATTATTTTCTAAACACCTTGTATATATACATATATATATATATATACACTCACACGCAAAAAAAACGGTCACTAAATTTTTGCACAAATTTTTAATATTTTTAAAAAGCAATAACTCAGTGAAAGTCATCGTAACGAGATATTTAAAAAAGCTTTTTAAAACTTGAAATCTCTACTATTCAGATCATAACTTTAGAAAATGGTCTTACTGATATTTCTGTATCTACCATAGTTTTCGAGAAATCATAATGCATTATTAAAAATAGGATACCCTGTATATATGTAGATATGATAACTAATATTATGTTGCAGGTATAGTGAATAAGAAGAGCTTGGACTATATTGTAATACTGGTACACAAAATATATACCGTATCTATTCCAAAACCAGATAATACAGAGCAATGGTTAGGTGAGTCAGTGGAGATTGGTCAGGAAATAAGATGTTGCGTCACTCAACTACATCATAAGAGCAAACCTCCTTTCATCTGCGCCAGTTTGAAATCCGATTATTCTCAAGGTTGTAGGTTGTCAGAAAGCATAATTAATATTAATGATGTGGACAGTGCACCTGAAAGTACAAATAACTCTATGAAGATTGACATTGATGGAATATTGGAAAATGACGGTATTTCTGAGAAAGAGAAGAAAAAACAGAAAAAACACTGGAAAAAACACAAGTTTCAGGAGCGGAATTCAGAAGTCGTTTGTAAAATTGAAAATGAATCAAAGTTGAATGTGGGAAGCAATACTTCTACAATTATTAAATCTGAAAAGAAACAGCAATGTATTTTATTAAATATTGGTGTGGACAGTGTAACTGAAAGTATAAATAACTCTATGAAGATTGACATTGATGGAATATTGGAAAATGATGGTACTTCTGAGAAAGAAAAGAAAAAACAGAAAAAACACCGGAAAGAACACAAGTTTCAGGAGCGGAATTCAGAAGTTGTTTGTAAAATTGAAAATGAATCAGAATTGAACGTAGGAAGCAATATTTCTACAATTATTAAATCTGAAAAGAAACAGCAATGTATTTTATTAAATATTGGTGTGGACGGTGCAACTGAAAGTACAAATAACTTTATGAAGATTGACATTGATGGAATATTGAAAAATGATGATATTTCTGAAAAAGAGAAGAAAAAACAGAAAAAACACTGGAAAGAACATAAATTTCAGGAGCGGAATTCGGAAGTTGTTTGTAAAATTGAAAATGAATCAGAGTTGAACGTAGGAAGCAATACTTCTACAATTATTAATCTTGAAAAGAAACAACAATGTATCTTATTAAATACTGATGATTCTTTAAATAACTTGAAAGTCGATAATATCCCTAGAAAATATAAGAAAAACAAGAAAACATCCAAATCGCTACTTAATAATGAAACAATTTTGGACGAATTTACTGAGTCACGTAAAGCTGCAAAGAGAAAAAATTCCATTCTATTAGATAGTATTACTGAAACAGAGACGAAAAAGGAAAAGAAATGTGAAGAAATCTAAAGAATCTGATTCAGAATTTATATTAACAAAGAAAACGAAGAAGAAACAGTTAATAGTACAAGGAATATTATTCCCTATCTTAAATGTGAAGAAAAGCAATATGCTTAAGAAGTATATTGTATTAAACGTTAATACTTTTTCAAATAATTTAGAAAGTAGTGTATTTACAAAATATAAGAAAAGCAAGAAGTCACCTATAATGTCAAATTCGGAATCAGAGACCCACGTTGTTAAAATAAAGACTGAAAAGTAAGACCATGTATAAACTTAAGTCCATGTATAAACAGAATTATTAATGAAAGAACAAAAAGCCAAACATCATGTAACGAGACTCAAGTCGTACAAAATTTGAATTAAACTTTCGAAATGCCTAAGTTTATGAAAAAAGGAAATTTTATTAAATATAACACTTTTGAAAAAAAAAAGGACGAAGGGTCCTAAAGAAACATAATTCAAGAGGCTCACAATTAAAATCTATCGAAATTAAGAAAGGATATGACATAAAATCAGTGATGTCCGTAACTTCAGATAACGAAGGGAAAAAAGTCTTCAGAAACATGCAAATTTGTCAAGAGATTTAGATTCTGAGTTTAAAATTAAAAGTGAAAATACAACGAACGATATAAATGGTATTTTTTGAATGATATAAATGATATTTTCCGAACAATTAAACACGATTCTGATGGATCTCAATATGAAATACAATATATCAGCAATATATATGATTCAAGTAATTTAGATCTTAATTATGTATCAAAAAAATTTAAAAAGAAAAAAGCGCTTGTAATATTATCAAATTCGGAATTGAAATTTCTTATTATAAAATTGAAAAAGATTGAATTAAAGTTTTTTTTTTATAGAACTGACTAGTCTTATCCATGTAATAAGAAAAATGCACTACTTCTTCTTCTTCTTCTTTGATTGGCCCACGGTTCCTATTTCGGATCCACACTGGCCAGATACGATGGAAAAGAAAAATGCACTAAATGAAAATGTACAGAAACAAATATTTTTATAATTGTACTATCAGTTAGCGTTTAATAAAAGTATCAAACAATAAAACGAGATAACTATATATAGGATTAGCAACAGCATACAATAAGAAATAAAAACATTTTATTTACAGATACAGAGGGTTTGTTCACGTCGCATGCTCCAATATGTTCTAATATGCTCCTACCATAGCTCCTACTCACTCCAACGCGCTTGATAGAGTGAGTAGGAGCTATGGTAGGAGTATGTTGGAACATGTTGGAGCATGCTACGCGAACAAACCTCATAATAGAGTTTTAAGCCTTAAGCCATAAGAAATGGACGAATTATAATCAATTATTCTCCCCGAATTTGTCTACATTGGTCAATTTCTTACGGCTTAAGGCTTAAAACACCTATTGTAGATCCGGACTTAAGCTGGTTCAACATTAATCGTATTGTAGGCGTCGCAAGTGTCATAAGCATCGTGCGACTTTAAATTGACACCTCGGATTGGCTGAAGCAAGAAGTTTGTGACTTGTGACGACTACGATACGACCAATGTAGAATAGGCTTTAGAGTGCATACCTATACAGCGGAATAGCGTAAGTCCGGATCTATAAAGCTGGAAACACAATAGGCACAGGCAATAGGCACAAGCAACAGGGAATAACGAGCCGTCCAATCAGAGCTTTGGGGTATAAGTTCGATATTATATCCCAGAGCTCTGATTGGGCGGCTCGTTATTCCCTGTTGCCTGTGCCTATTGCCTGTGTCTATTGTGTTTCCAGCTTTAGATTCGACACATGGTGGTTCGGCGTAACAACAAAATAGCGTAAAAAGCATAAAGTGACTAGACAGAAACTGATGTTTAAGTGAAACGATATGATTGATCAGCGCAAGTTACGCTTACGCTGGTTACGTCGCATGTGACGGCACTCTTAGGGTGATGTCCCATGCAGCGGATCGTGCGTAAGCGGATTCGCGTATCGCCAATCACAGAATTATTCTCTTATAGCGTTTTCGGCCCGATCGGGTTTGCACCAACCTTGGTTGGATTAATCTTTCCTATTGGTTGACGTCACCCGCTCTATCAATAGGAGAGCACAAAACGCCATTAATCCAACCCAGGTTGGTGCAAACCTGGCCGGGCCGAAAACGCTATTAGATATGCTTGCCAAATTTGCAAACAGATCTAAGAGAATGATTCTGTGATTGGCGATACGCGAATCCGCTTACGCATGATACGCTGCATGGGACATCAGTCTTACTGCTACCATTGGGCGCATTCAGCGGACTCAACAGTTGAGTGAGCGCTCACTGTTATTGGTGTATTCTTCTAAATCTAAAATTCTGATTGGATGAGCTAAAAAAATACACCAATAACAGCGAGGGCTCACTCAACTATTGAATCCGCTGAATGCTCCCATTGTAGACAGTCCATTATGCGTCGTCTACAATACATGGAGTAAGAAGTAAGACTAAAAGATTGATCAATCATAGTCGATTATTTTTTTCACATTCGATTGTGACAGGTCAATTTCTTACTTTTATTTCTTATTCCGCGTATTGTAGACGCCGCATTAAGCTGGTTCTACATTAGTCGTATCGCAACGTCACAAGTGTTGTGGCCCAATAAAAATCAAGCTAGCTCGACTCTGATTTAACCGCAACGCTTGCGACATGCTTGCGACGCTGCGATGAGACTAATGTAGAACCAGTTTTAGGTGGCCCGCACACAATTTCCGTAAAGCCTCGTCTACAATAGTCGCACAAGCTGTGTCGCATGTCGTATGGAATGTCGCAGAAGTGTCGCATATAGTCGCATGATTGTTGTAGTCGCAAGAGCTCTCGTCGTACGGAGTTGAGCCAACTTCAACTTTCTGCAACTGCGACAGGCGTGTCGCATGAGCTCAACCAATCGCAGCACAGCAAGTTTAAGAATTAGTTATCGAATTGCGTACAAACAATCGTTGTGACTATTGTAGACGCTCATTTAATTACACTCTTGCGGCATGCGACAAATTTTCCTGCGATGCTACTACTGGCGACATCCGACATAACCTGTGCGACTATTGTAGACGAGGCTTAACAGTAATCGTAATGCGGGATCTACAATAGAAGTCGTAGCAGTCGTAGGGTCTTAAGTCGTAGAAAATTGACCAATTATAGTTGATTATTCTTCTCATATTCTACTGTGATTGGTTAATTTTCTACGGCTTAAGACTCTACGACTGTTACGACTTCTATTGTAGACCCCGCTTAAGTCATAGAAAATTGATCAATTACTACGTTTACACGGCACGCTTTACGTTGAAGTTATAACATCGATGTTATAACTTCGGCGTAAAGCGTGCCGTGTAAACGTACATATTCATAGTCGAGATTATTCTTTTCATATTCGATTGTGATTAATCAATTTTCTATAACTTAAGACCTTACGATCGCTACGATTTTTATTATAAATCCCGTATTAGAGTATATTCACATAAATTTACATAATTGCATAAACATATTCGTAAAGAAAATTATCCAATCGCATTTCTCTTATAAAAGCGAACGTAAAATGTGATTAAATAATTTCCTTTAAGCATATGTTTGTACGACTATGCAAGTTGTGTGAATATACCCTTAGTCCAACGGCTTTATGTTATAAACTACGTTTACATTGTACGCTTTACGCTGAAGTTATAACATCGATGTTATGAAACTGACCAATCACAGTCATTCCATTCTTCAGAGGAACAGCTGTGATTGGCCAGTTTCATAACATCCATATTATAACTTCGGCGTAAAGCGTGCCGTGTAAACGTAGTAATTGTTATGTGTTACGTCAATTTGTGTGATGGCCTTCAGCCGGAAGCTCACTACCTTTGGATAATACATAATACATACGTAACGGCACATTGCATTTTTGATCATTGGCTACACTTAGCAGAGGGTGCTTTCCATTTGATGACACAAGTCGACACAAGCTTCGTTCTATCCTTGAAATTCAGAGAGTAACAAAGATAGAACGACATTTGTGTCGATTTCTGTCGACTTGTGTTATCAAATGGAAAGCACCTATTAAGCAGCCATTTGTAATATCAAGAAATCAGTCTCATAGACTCCTTTTACACCGTTAAATTGCTTGGTACGCGTATCAAGTTGGCGCGGACCAGACATTTAATACGTCTTTATTTACATCGATCTGTCTCAGAACAGGTTAGGTGACATGACGTTTTCACTGCTTTTCTCTCTCTCTCTCTTAAGATTTAAAACCTTTAATTCTAACTTTAACTGCACTTAATAACAGTGGCCAGTTTAATATACGATTCAAAACGAATTAAACGTTTACAGCGTGCCAGCATTTTGTATATTATTTAATACGCGTACCAGCTTGGTCTGATACTCGCAATTCGGGAGTACAAGACTAAAGTAATACCCTAGCATTTATACCGAGCGTATCAAATGATTTGGTACTGGGGCTCTATTCTTGAAAAGAACGTATACGAAAGTCTAGGGAAATACTATAGTATACGGCTGCTTTCCTTTTAGGAGACACAAACCGACACAGTATAACACACTCAAACACAGTTTGCCACGCTTAAATGGAACGCGATATGTGCAGTGTGTGTA